GTTGTCGAGGCACCGTGTGTTTTGTTCGAAGACGGAAATTTTACAGCGCAAGTTTCGCGCTGAGTCACTCGCGATCTAGCGAGCGTACGTGGCGATCTACACAAATGCCACAACTCGAGAATACAGCTTCATTTCGTTGGCTATTTTCAGGCAGGCAAGCAACCAAACGCAACGGATAAAGGGCCGGATATATGTGTTCGCGTGGCGCGATGTTCCGGCCACTGTATTCGCGGTAAAGCTTTTCTTTACGTTCATGCTGGATGTCTCCCAACGTTCGATTTTGCAAGCTTCGCGCAGCTTCGGGTTCTTTCAGGATCCAAGCACACGTGACCATATTGTGTCCTGTCTGGGCTGGATCAAACTAGCTGCCGTCTGGCTGCCAGAACTGTGAAAATTGAAGAGACGCAATAGAGAATGTCATGAAGAAACTTAATAATTACGGATCAAGGGACAACTCCTGGATAAACTTGACAGAAGGCAGCGCAGACGGAGACGAGACTGATGTAAGAACAATGTATCCCCGATTCAAGACAACGCACAGGTTCCGTCCACAAAGCAATGAGAATGCTTCGGTTAAAAAAAAAATATTGATCCGATCCGCATATAGGATTTAAATTCTTCAAAATAGTTCGTTTGGCTGTCGATACACCGATTACAACAAAATTCCGTACGTGGCAACGGCTCTCTGAATGCCAGTCACCGTGACCGCTCTCATAGTATCTGTGACAGCCAATTGGATGCCAGGGAACATTGGCAAAAAGGGAATCTTTCAGGCTTCTCTCAAGCTTTGCGAACAGGAACAAGTGTGCCGGGCTCACAGCACCGCTGATTCATCCTTGGTACAGTTCCGATGTGAGTACCACAGACTCCTTCTTTTCCAGAACAGCTTACTTGCATTGACGGACAAGAAAACTATTTTGAAGAATTTAAATATTAAGTACCAATCGAATCGGTATATTTTTTTTCTTTAACAGGCCCAGTCTCACCACTTTACGTACAGATCCTGAAAATCGCAGAGAAGTGAGATGGCGCGTAAGGCTTCTTTCGTTTGAGCGAGCTTAAGGAACTTGAGGAGACTTTCGTACCTATTTTCAGACTCTAAATATCTCAAATAGCTCATTCCCTCTGCCCTCATCCGAGTACCTATACAGCTTCTCACAATTAAAGTTCATTTCTTCTGGCTACAGCGCTTATATTATAACGCTCACTCCTGCACATCATGCAGATATATTTCGTCGCGGCGTCGGGAAATAAATTGAACGACGACACTTCTACTTAGTTGTAAGCGCCCCTCCACCCCACGCCTTTACCCTGCGCTCACAGCCACAACAGAATTTTACGGCAATGAAGTTGTTATGAGTAATCTTTAAAAGACGAGGGAATAGCTGTGCGCGATAGATAATGAAGCGGGGGTTTGAGACGTCTACGAGTATAAAACTAGAGACAGTCTAACACGCTTGATCGACAATAGCCACGTGGGCACTTCATGCGTTTTATGTGCTCTCGGCGTTTAATGACCCTCGACAGCAGGCACTGATGTAAACCATCTGTTGCGTGATGCGCTCGTTTTTGAATGCGGGCCGCAGCGCTACGACCACGAAGCGCTTACACCAAGCTCTAGGTGCTTAAGTACGGCGAAAATCCCCTGGGATAACACTTTTTAATCCAGACACACCACAGAATGGTGCCTACAGCAAGCATTAGCTCAGAGTTATACTTGCGCAACACGCGATTTAGCAATTCCACTTGCGCATATTTCCCCCCGTAGAATCGCTAGCACAGCCCGTTTCGCAAGCCATTCTGAAGATAAGAAGTGACATGAGTTCTGGCTTTGGGAAGCGTGTCACTGCATTTTTTTTACATCACTGTGCTTAGAGAAGCATTATAAAACCTGTGTTAAACGGTTTGCAGCTCTGAGCGTAGTTGATCAAGGTCTAATATACTCTGCAAGATAAGTGAACAGTAGTAACATACATTAGCCCATTTTAACAAGAATGAATGCTTGAGGTCATTTCCCCCGAGTGTTCACACAATCCCTACAGACACCAATTACGCCGCAGGCATATTCAGCAAAGGGCTGGGGAAGCTGCGGCGGCTTCATTAGCTCGATGCCTCCACATTCCTTAATCCGACTTTGCCGAAAGGCGTTCGGATTAATCAAACTCGTTCCGCCTCGCATCTTCGCTATACACGTCGACACTTGCACTATATACGGTTGCGAAATTGTAATATGAAATCAGAGCGTTTAACCGAGGGGGGATCAGAACATCTTTAATTTAGGCTGAGCGGAACGTTGGCCGCATGTTTCGTGCGAATGAAACAATGTGCACAATATTAAAGTGTGAAAAGATGCGAGCAAAGCAATTGCGCACCCACGTTCCGAGACGAAATTCGTCGGATATTTAGGCTTCAGAATTGCAAGGGACAAACAAGGGTGCCGAGAATACATTCCTGTCTCTGCTTAAGCGCAAGCCAGGAACACAATGATTTCGTTGAGCGCGGAGCTCCCGATGTCTGCAGCCGGACTCTGCATTTTGGGCATATGGACGCCACGTTTTTGCACATTCACTCTGGACTTTGGCGAGTGTTAGGCTGCCCTAATTGAAAAAAAAATGTGCATGAGACTGTCCGAAAGATTCTGTCATAGGATAGCCGAGTATCAGAACATACACAGGTGCTAGAAACTGTATACAGACGGTGTACGATATCCATAACCTTGAACATTCAATTTTCACCCATACACAAAAAACTTTACACATGCATTTTAAACAGAAAAACGCACACATACACGACATATAAAAGACTTGTAATGTACAAGTGTGCTCGGCATAACACCAATTATCGTAGTTATAATAGAAACGTTAACGAATTATTGAAGGTTGCATACAACGTCACGGCTCGAAATGTTATGGACTTGCGATGGAGTTAGGTTTGTAAACGAAAGAGAGAAAGCAATGTAAATAAAAAGTGGCAGCAAGCCCAGACTGATGTTCAAGATTAACACGATGGTGAATGAAGTAACATGCACGGGACGCACCCTAGTGTGCAATGCAGTGAGCGAGTTTATGAAAAAAAATAAAAGTTGTCAGCTTTCGCAGAAACGGTTATTTAAAAGCGCCCTCGTAGAGAGGGGCGACCCTTTTTAGTCCGTAGTCCTAGCTCGTGTGCCGGCGTAAGACATGATCTCTTTATGTAATAAATAAAGGCCTGATCAAGGCTCTTGTGTATACAGCCGTGAAGCACACACACGCTACGTTTCTCTGCGAAGAACATTTCTTCGACATCATTCACCGCACCAAAGTAACCATGGGTTCTGCGAAGACCTGACTATTGAGAAAATATGTTGCTGCCTTTGAAAGAACCATTAGCCGAGCCGATATAGAGGGAAAACACGATAGGCACGCCAGAAGGATAAATTTAGGTCTGAAAAAGTGAAAAGAAAAAGTAAATGGCAAGGAGTTTAACCGTACTCTCAGTCTCGCACCGGGTAAGCCACTCTAGAAGATTGGACAGAGAAAGCAAGACAAATTGTAATGAGAAACTCGGGGTGCGCATATCCGCCGATGACGCTTCTTCGGCATACCTGTCTATCAGTCAGTTGTCAACAGTATGCTTCAGTCTCAAACGCTTAGAACAAAGACACTCACTGGAAAAAAAAAATATCATCTGACCTTGGCTTAAGAGCTCTAGCAGGTTCGGGACCCCTAAAACGCTAATGCGCTTCTTGAAGGCAACAGGGCTTCTACGTTCAAAGCTTGTAGAGAGCTGATCAAAATCAGCTTGAGACTGTAATCTGTCTTGCTCTTCCACAGAACAGAGCTCACACACAGCCGCCCTCAATTGGCTGCCCAAAGTGTTCACCTCTGCCATCCATTTCGAGCCAAGCCTATAACCAAAGGGCGCTCCGCGGCAGCTTTTCGACACGTGAAAAAGACGGAAAAGCGCGGTCACTCAGCTTCTACTCGCAAAGCCAGTCTGGCGTCGTACTGACAAGTTCGACACGAAGCGAAAACAAATATTGTGAAGCTGTTCCCGAGTGGCATTTCACTCGAGATTCCGTCAGTTGCGCGTTCGTTCTTCTGCTCTCTCCGCAAACAACCGGTCCAAGGCGTCGTTCTTCTTTTGCCGATGGACAGCTCGCTCCCTGTTGCCCAAATTCCGACTTTGTGGGCGTTTGGCGTTGCTTCGGTTCCTGAACGCTCTGGCATAATGCGCGTGTGCGCGCTCGTGTGTTGCGTGGAGAGGGGGCAGTGTGTATCCAAAGCTATTATCGAGCAGCTATGCAACACACAAATATGCGAGCTTATCGGGCTGAAAATCACTTCGGTACGATTGAGTTACTTGGAAGGACATAAATGCTGCCACACGGGAAAATACAAAAACGCTAACCCGTTCTACACATTTCCTGAGCGGAAGAAAATAAGTGCGATTGGCTTCGTTGAATTTAGTCACATGGTATCAATGAAAGAGTGATGTGTTTGCATATTGAAATTGACAGAAACAACCCGTCCTCCAACAAACGCGGCAGAAAACGCACTGAGAAAGAATAAACTATGTAAGAGAAGCAAATAATATATTGTAGTACAGCTCAAATGCGCTAATGTTTTCTTCCGTCACCCAAAACAGGGTAATCATTATAAAAAGAACGCAGATCAGGCACTTTGTTTTAACATTAACCCTCGATACAAACAATCAGAGTGCGCCGAATAGCACGTCACCTAAACATAACGGATAGCAGATAGCGCGGGTACCGTCTTAGGAGGGCGAAGTTCTGGCGCTTCGCGTGAGGAATTGTTTTCTCGCGCAAGCGAAGCGCGTTCACCCAGTGCATGGGTGCATGCGCAGCGTAACTATTGGCAAGCGACAGAGCACATGTAAAAGGCGCTGCCCTGGCGCGTGAGAGGCGGACACAGCACCAAGGCAACTCCGTTCACCGCTCCGCTTCAGCAAAAGAAAGGCTGCAGTATCGCAACGCACACCACCACAGTTACGTAACTCACCTTCGGTACGAAAGGAACCGAAACGGTCGTCACGCACGCAATGCCACTTTAGAGCCTCTCGCCAAAGAGGAGCGAAAATCCAGCCGGCGTGCAAAAGCACAACACCGTCGCACGCTGTGGCCTCACTCGCAGCAGGAATCGTCGAGCACCGAGAGAAAGCCGTGAGGAGCCCGCAGGCCGAGTCCCACACCGTAGCGACTCATGGCACGACGCGCGTCAAGAACCTGGCCCGGCAGAGAAGCACGCGCGATGGGAGCGCTCGTATCCACACGGCAAGGCAGCATTGGGTAGGACGTCCCACAACTGGTCCCGCGGTGGCGGCCGCTGGCAAACTGGTACTGAGGGAAGGAGAACGCACGGCGGTGGCTGCAGCGCCGCTCTGGCGGCCTGCAGAAAGGGAAGGCGACCGGATGTCGCGTGGAGAGAAGGCCCCCACAACTACCCACAAAGCGCCGGAGAGGAGGACCGCAGATTCCAGCTGCCACGAAAAAGAGTTTCCGCTCAGGTCCTCGCCCGGGCCGACGACTCGCGAGAGGTGTTCGTAGGAGCGGTGCGGGGGGGAGGCGCGCAATCTGCCACCGCTGCCTGCCAGACGGACACGCTGTCCGACGGAGCCGCGGCCCTGCCAGATGCGGAGCACTTGGCTGGCTTCGTCGGCCACCCGCGGAAAACGTGACTTCGCGGCGCACACTTCCCCAGCGAAGCGGATAGCTCACACGCCAATAGGGACAGCGAACGATGGGCACCAGGGCCGCGAAACAGGCATAGATCGCCAATAAGAAAACCTGGTAGAGCCTTGGCTTGTTGTGGCTAGCTTTGAATTAAATATCGCGAAAGAACTTGAATCATCTGCATGCATTAGAGCTGTCACGTTGTATCCACCGTACCCTTAGCTCAATTGTCCCATCGCTTTTGAGTTATGGGCAGGTCACAGTGCATGCATTGCAAAAGCCGCTTGATTCTTGTCGCCGGTTGATTCAAGTCAGCAAGGCCAAATTCTAGATGATGTGGAGACAGTAAGCAGCATGTGTACATTTGTACAGTGATTTTCCGTCGTAACTGAAATTGCTCACGAACAATAACCAGCTGCTGGAAAAAAAGGAGAGAGAATAGTATGCGGTAACTTCATTACTATATATGTGACTCAGTGTCCAGTTCATATGGGTCTATTATATTCTATTGTTATTTAAATGATATTTTTACTACTAAATTAACAGCTGTTTAACTTTCTTTTTTGTTATGCAATACCCCAACAGAGGCCTTTAAGTGTCAATAGATTATGTAAATAATGAGAGCTGTCTTACGTTGACAAGGACTTCGGCCATCATTCTTCGGCGTTAATGTTATTAAAAAAAGTACTAAACGCGTCCGCTTTGCTTGCACTCTGCTGACACATTATTATTTTTTTTTCGTATACGAATATGCAAAAGAAAAAAACCTAGACTGTTAGGGCGGCCTCGCTTTCAGGTTGATGCAGTGCTGAGGCAGCAGATAAAACGGTCATTCCTGCAGTGTTAGGGTTAACCCCCCCGAAGAGATTGCAGAGGTAAAGGGCTTCCACAATCATGCATGCGACATTTAGCTTTCTCGTTCTTTTCCTTTCTTGTTTCCCCTGAAGGGCCCAACGTAGATCAGAAGCAGGTGTCACGCCTACTGCTTGTTTCATTCCATGACGCGAGTTTGCTTGTTGTTAGGTGACGAGTCTCCGTGTCTAAGACAGGTTCAGGAGGAGGAGTTTCCGGCCTAGATTTTCATTCTAAGCTTCCAACATGACAGCACATAGGTTTGTGCCACTACAGAAGCGTCTCAAAAAGAGAAAGAGGCCACATAGAGATACGTGGACGTTCACTAGTGCTAGTTCTGATTGGCTGCCTTGCGCAGGCACGAACGAGACTATACAATAAATGCGGCGCTTTTGCTCCGTAACTTAGGATGAACTTAGAGTGGTGCACGACGCAAGGACACATTACGCTAGAGACAGAGAAACAAATCAAATGAAAAGAGGTTGACCATCAATAAGCCCGGTTGACTACCCCACGCTGTAGAAAAAGAAAGATGATGAAGAGGAAAGGAGTGTGTTCACGTCGAAGGCACTCGCTGCCACATATTTTTTTTTTTAACCGCCGACGCTAACAAGACATGTCTCGTGAGCTTGGGAGCAAATGTGGCCAGTAGACTCTCGTATGTTGTTAATTGAGATCAATAGCGGCACATCGAAGCCTTCGCTAGGCAATAAGTGACAAATTAACGGGATCCCTTGGATCACCTTAATGTAACTGTAGTTTTCCGAGTGTGGGAGTAAGCAAACGGCTATAGTTGAAAGTATCTTTCGACGAGTTGAGAACCATGATTTCGAAAATTTCAAATGTGAGCGTTCGCACGTCAAGAACATGTGGCGCAAACAGTTCATCCATCTTGAACAATCGACAATTTCCGCCCCGGCACGTGGAAATGGTGACGATGTAGACTGCGAGCAGGAACGGGAAATGTCTCGTTGCCGGCAAAACGCTTGTGACGACCGGTCTCCTCTCTCGAATCAGGGTCACGAAAGGGGGAAATTGTCTTCCTCCTAAGAAGGAAATCAGTGTAGATTTCGCAGAAAGAAATCTTAGTTGTCGAGGCGTCTCCGTCCTTGAAGACACATTCACTGAGTATTGGGGAAGAGGAATCAATGAGTAGCCTGCCGGACGCGCCTCTCTTGCGAGCTGTCCGCCGCGGTGGAGCAGTGGTTATGGTGCTCCACTGCTGAAAAAGGTGCCGGGTTCATTCCCGGCCGAGGTGATCGCATTTCGATGGAGGTGAAATGGTAGATGCCCGTGTACTGGGCCATGTCAGTGCCTGTGAAAGAACACCAGATGGTCCCGACTTCCAGAGCCTTCAACTACGGCGTCTCTCATAATCATATGCTGGTTTCGGGTCGTGAAACCCCACATATTAGTATCGCTTGCGTGCTAAAGAATCACTCCGGCATGCTGCTCACGTGTGTTGCTGTCAGCGCTCTACGAAAACACGACGTGGAATCCCTCCTGGACGTTTCTGTAAATACGTTCGAAACGAGTAAAGTTTCTCCAGTCAAAATAATAACGTTAGGAAATACGAAAGCACGGAATTGTAAACAGACACTATATAGTGTCTGCTTACAGAATGCAGACAGTGAATGTACATTGCGCGAGGTCACTGCGATTGGAATCAACAAGTAGGGTTTTCGCGCTAAACGCATGCAGGCAATCGCTCACTGATTGATATGTGGAGTTTAACGTCCCAAAACCAACATATGATTATGAGAGACGCCGTAGTGGAGGGCTTCGGAAATTTCGTCTACCTGGGGTTCTTTAACGTGCGCCAAAATCTGAGCACACGGGCCTACAGCATTTTCGCCTCCATCGCAAATTCAGCCGCCGCAGCCGGGATTTGATCCCGCGACCTGCGGGTCAGCAGCCGAGTACCTTAGCCAAAAGACCACCGCGGCGGGGCTGCTTGTGCTTCGCTTACCCTTCCTAAGTGCTCGTGTGCCGGTCAAGTTCAGGCTATTCTCTGTTTTTTTTTTACTTTACATTGTTCTTTCATGAGTCCTCTGACCTTCTTTAACGTGGGAGGGTTTCATGCCAATGTCCCTCGTCAACCTCCTGCCGAATGTAACGCAGCGCATGTCACTGCAGGCAGACGCTTGCTTCTATTCATTTCCATCTCACTATAGGTTCACTTTGGTTCACTCGAATAACGTCAAAACCTCCCGACAAAGCACGCGAGAAGCAGATCATCTATATCTTCATGACCTACCCTAAAATTGAAACTTTATATTCCTGCGTGTACTTTTCGCACGTTCATCGCATCTACAATGAATGCCAACAAGCGCTCATTTACAACCGAAAACACAATAGTTATTGTGACGGTAGAAACAGCATTAGTACTTCGTAAAGTATAACAGGGATTTCAGAAATTAGATATACGAGCATCAGTTGTTTAAAACTATTATATGCTTTTCAGTTCAATGACACTAACACATAATCACGCACAATCAACCGCTAGCAACCCCCCTTTCACATACACATGCACTCTCACTGAACACAGAACACATAAAAAGAAAAATGAACGAAAGCACCTTCACGCAAACCCCTTCTCTTCGAGCTTTAGCAAGCACGAAATCGAACGCTTAAAATAAGCGACAAAACAACCTTTCGCTTCCACCACTGACCCTGACGAGCAAAGCCACAGTAAATCACCGTTAGCGAAACCGCGCGGCAGGTATACGAGGAACGTGTTCGCTGGGAGTCCATCACGCCTGCTTTATTGCTGCTCCGATAAGCAGCTGCATCGTCGAGTCGAACGTTACGTCTCTTAGCGCAGCGCGAGAGGAGGAGGGGTTTGAGAGCCTCGTTCACCCTTTTTAACCTTTGGGCGCGCCACCATACAGAGTGGAGTGAGTGATCGTCCGGGCTTTAAATTGGGTGTCCCGACTGTAGAGCGGCCGCTGACGCGTTCCACTCCGCAGCGCGCGTCCTCCCGTTCTGCATGGCCCCAACCCGGCGCGGAGAAATGAACGCGCGAGACCGGTATCGTAGCAGATCCCTCCTCAACGTTCTCTCCCTTTTCGATCATCCCTGTCGCCCGTGGTTAGGAAAAGCCTGTCGATATAAAGATCGGGTCAAAAGAGGGAGCGAAACGAAACGGGTACGTTCATTTAGTGTGGTACACCTTCTGCGAGGTGCGTGTGTGTGACGCACGACCGCAGCAAAAGTGAGCTTAGTCGAGCTGTTTTGCCGGATAAAATGTATAGACACACGCGACGCCACATATCGCCACTGAACTAACGGGACAGATATAAGAGAAGCTTCCTGTAAACTACTCATTGCTGCATGCACTTTAAATATCCTATGCACAGACAAACGTCTATCTAGTCTTTTGGCTTCCTAGAGGCGGAATATTTACTTTCATGAATTCTCAATTTCAGCGGCTTTCCATAAGGGTTCGAGGGAAGGAGAGATGATTCATTAAAAGGCGGTGAGGTTGGCCTGAGCTATACAGTTCACTCCAAAATTTCTATTTGCACAAACTCAATTTCCGCCATATATAGCAGAACACATCCGCGTGCAGCCCTGCGGAGCTTCAAAAAGCTGTGTTTAGCCTATAGATATCAGGGCATTGCAATCTCGTCAGAATGATGCGTACGGGCTTCCTAACTAAGACAGCAGGATTCAAGAGGCAAACGACATTAACGGCAAGGCACCGTAAAGTCAGTTGTCGGTCCCTTTAATTAAAGACAGGGTCCTCTCGAAAGTAAGTGTGCTCCTATGAAAAATCGTGCTTAGACGGCTGTTT